GTGGCCACGACATAACTCGTGGGAACGTGATAATATGTCGTGGCCAGGAGATATTAATTTGAGGGAACGTAATATTAACTCGTGGGAACGTGATATTATGTCGTGGCCACGAGATCATTTTGTCGAGGTAATGACATCCTTATGTCGACTTCTTATGTTGAGGGAACGACATATTTTTCTCGTGGCCAGGAGTTTAATGCGTAAACAAACCTGCGGGACCATAGCAACCCGGGATTACCAGAGATGGATTCATTAATATTTTATTTTGAATTAATAAATTATTATATTATTTATTATAGAAATTATTAGATTATTAAATTAACCATAGGCCTTGGCTACCGGACTGTATTACGTGGGATAGTCAGCATTCAAATGAAGTTTATCATGAATAAATGTTACATAAAGGGCATAATATAAAATAGGCTTACAATAAAAATTTTTTATCCATCCTACAGTCTTGTAAGTGCATTAATTGATCGTCTTTTCCCCGTAATATTTGTATATTATTATTATTAGCCTATTATTATTAGTTATATTTTTATATTCATTTATATTCATTTTTTCCTATCTCTTTACTTAACGTTCTGAATACTTTTGTAAATAATAGCCTACTGTAAATGCTCGACATGCCAATAAAGCTTTGATTATGCTGACTGGAATTTTTTCTGGAATGCAGTTTATATTTAACATATATTTCATTTTTTTTCGGCTAATTAATAGACCATAATTATAAATACTATAGTGTTTCGTTAAGGAATTAATCATTATGCTGACTGGAATTTTTGCTGGAATGCAGTTTAAATTTAACATATAGGCCTATTTCATTTTATTTCGGCTAATTAATAGACAATAATTATAAATACTAGTGTTTCGTTGAGGAATTAATCATTCACGTAGTTTCATTTGTAAATGAAAACACAACACGATCATTTATCATCACACATAGGCATAAATGCAATCAAAGTCAAAACTTTATTTTTCATAATTGTCAGGCGTTTATTTGCAAAATATATGGTAGGCTAGCAAATGCTAGCATAATGATACAAAACGTTAACTAGGTAAAGCGATATTGAAAGGGGAAATAAGCATATATAACAATAAATATAAAAATATAGCCCTAATAAGTTAATGTAGCCTAATAATAATAATATACAACTATTAAATTAAACGTTTAATGTTAATAACAATGTTTTATCCATTTACGCAGGTTTGTTTACGCATTTAACTCGTGGCCACGAGAAAAATATGTCGTTCCCTCAACATAAGAAGTCGTGGCCACAACATTACCTCGACAAAATGATCTCGTGGCCACGGCATAATATCACGTTTCCACGAGTTAATATGACGTTCCCATGAATTAATATCTCGTGGCCACAACATATTATCACGTTCCCACGAGTTATTATGTCGTGGCCACGACAAAACTAAGCGACCGACCATGTCACCTCCCGGGCACCGTACTATATAGACAATATTGAAAAGATTATGATAATGAAAGGTTTCGCCCACAAGTTGCCAGATGCATTCCTGAGTAAACACCAAGAAATGGCGGCAGGAATTAAACTCCACCACAGAACAAGCTGTCAAATGTTGCTTTTAATATTATGTCCACTTCCAGTTGTTTTTAAAACATCTATATATTGTCACCCCAGAAATATTTACAGATGGGGGAAATTAGAGAGAGAGAGAGAGAGACAGAAAGAAAGAAAGAAAGAAAGAAGTGGCCATCAACAAAGAGCCAAAATGCATTTAGGATAAGTAAGATTGTACAAAGAGGTTTCCAAACTCCAGATTAATCTAGATTAGATTTCAGCTAAAGCACAGGCTAAGCGTACAGTATGAAGTGCTTCCATGGTGTGATTTTTCACCATGTGGTATATGGGTATCTATATCAGTAAGAGTTGATGAAATATCTGTGGTTTAGGACTGTTGGGTCAGACTCATGTTACAATACATAGCTGAGGTTTGAAGTGTGATTGAACAGTTCAACCATATCAGTGACTAAATTCTCTGATGGCTGTCTTCACATAATGCTTTTGAGTCTGACTTCAGCTCCATCAAATACACACACAACACACAGTCAAGTGTACCTTACTCAAGTATTTACCATTCACATCCACTGCTGTTAATGTAGGATAATTACAGTTATCACAAATGAATCCTAACCTAATCTTATTATAATAGCATAAACCTTCCATAGCATTAACCCTAACCAAACCCTACCCTAATCATAATTATAACTATACTCTAGCCCTCAATCATAGACACACACATTGCCATCATTCTCAATAGTACTGGTTTATGAAGGAGTGGTGGGGAATTAGAAGGTCACTGGGAAACTCAAAGGCTATCAGGCTCAAATCCACTCAGGTTAATGCGCTCTGAGGGGCAGTCACCACTTTGAACTGAGTTGCGGCTGATCCTTTTCTATGCCCTTCTTTATAATGCCAATCATGCATTTCAGTCGCAAACACACACGCATGAGCAGGACTGAAGCCAATACTGTCACACAACCTCACATGTTCTCTCATGCACATGTCCCCATCATTAAACATTCACTGTCAGACTCACTCTCTCCATCCCTGCTCTTAATAGTGGTTCTCCATGATAAACAGTATAGGTTTCATTCCATTACGTTTAGATTATGAAGAATTACTTAAAAAACACAAAATAATAACTTCAGTAGATGGTTTTGAGAAGGAAATGGTTCTAAAAAGCACCAGGGGTCTTTGGCTTGTTACAGTAGCAGAACCTACTGAGCAAAGAATGCCTTTTTTAATTAACTGTTCACTGAAAGATCCTTTAGTGAACCAAAAGTCTTATATGGCATCGCTGCAAAAAAAAACATTTGGAACCTTTATTTTTAAGAGTGTAGATAGATACTAGATTCTAAATAGAACTAATACAATCAGTAAATAATCTTCCTTTACCTGTAGATCTGGAGTCCCAAGGCACGTTTTATTGCTGTGATTCCTTAAGAGGTCACTCAGAGGTCAAAGGTCAAGCAGCAGGTCAGAGATCGGCCAAGCTTCAGAGCTCCAAATGTAGAAAAGCAACGTGGATATCCATCAGAAGTGCAGAACCTTTCTTGAAGCTCTTCTGAAGATTGTGCCGTGTGCGTCTCCACCAACCTTTCTTGTTTGAGTCCAGCTCTGCAGAGGCCAAACTGAAGCAGTCACGCTTTATGGTTCATAGTTCCCCAGTTTCACTCATTTATGTGGCATCCAGCTCGCATTCTGTTTCACTGAGTTCTTCCCGGTGAGTCTTTGAATCATCTTCTCTCTGATTTACTGTCACATCCCAGTGGCTCTCCAAAAAGAAGTGTGTGAGTGTGAAGAGAGCAGAAGGAAAATCATCAGTTGCATACAAGTTACAAAAAGATTCATCTACACCTCTCTCTCCCGCCCTCCCTCTCTTTTGGTCTAGCACTCTCTGATACCTCCCCCAGAAGCCCACTGTTAATCAACCAGTCCTGAAAACATATCGTCTCTCTCTTTCTCTCTCGCTCCCTGATCTGCAGCACTCAAGTTTGCATCCCTGGTTTAACCCCGTCCCTCCTGACTGCTGCAGTTAACATACTCAGTTTTCAGTGAAACATCTTTGTAAATATAGAAAATACATCAATAAACCCATGGGTTTGATCCAGATTATCATTTTACATATATTTATATTGATTCAATCAAAAATGTGTGGACTTCTGGAACTTTTCACTGTGGCATTATTGAGGTCCTGCCTGAAGGTTTTTCTCGAGTGTCTTTCCAAATACAAAATGGTTTCATAAACAAGTTTTGACAGCACATCAAGGCAAAACAAAGCAGATGTGTTATGTGGAAAAAAAAAAAGAGACGAAAGCTTTCAGACGCAAAATCATTAATCTTTCACTTTACAGTTTATCATTTTTAAGTTGAAATTTCTGTACCGTAAATCTTTATTTGGCTTGGGATGTTACACAGGACAGACTGTTCTCCTTTTGTTTTCTTTGCTTATTCTGTCATTCGTTCTCCCATTCTGTTGTTTGTGTGGTTTTTAACTCATCTCCATTTGACCACAATAAGAATAACATCCCTCTTTTTCCTTTTCTTTTCTTCTGAAACGCACACGCGCACACAGGTTTGTTTTTATGTTTTATGGGGACTCTCCATAGGCGTAATGGTTTTTATACTGTACAAACTGTATTTTCTATTGCCCTACACCAACCCTACCCCTCACAGGAAACTTTCTGCATTTTTAGATTTTCAAAAAAACTCATTCTGAATTATTTATAAGCCTTTTGAATTACAGGGACACTGAAAATGTCCTCATAAATCACCTTCTCGTTGTAATACCTATGTCATACCCATGTTATACAAATTTGTGTCCTCATAAACCACATAAACATGCACACACACACACACACACACACACACACACACACACTATATCTGGATAACTAGTCTGGAGAACATAGGAAAATACCCCAAAAGCCATTTTACACACTGGTCAGACAAGCATATACACAAATATTCTGGTTGAAATTAAAGTAACTAAAGTACTCAAATATTATGTTAAATTCCTCACTGTATTGATAGCATAAAAGACTGTTCAGAGCTGACTGTTAGTGTTGGATGGGTTAGTTTGGACCTCAAGATTTAATGCTGTTCTCACCAAACTGACCAAATAATCAAACACAAACAAGTAACTCAAAGACTCTTAAAGGAAAAGACCTGGTGGATGGAGTCATTGCCCTCTAGTGGTTAAAAACGCAATAGCAACCTCATATATATATTTTATGCATGCCAGTTGGCACCTGTCATCCGCCCCCGCCCATTTTTTTTAAAAATGTTATTTAAATGTATTTTCAACTGTTTCACGATGCAAAACTAAAACCTGCGGTCCTTTGCTCTACCACTGCATGACAGCTCTGAATAGTTATTAACAGTTGTACAGGTGGCACAGCGAAAGAGAAATCAGTGCATGACTTTCAGATAAAGGACTGACTTTAATACATTTTCAAGTAAAAGTGTTTACACATGGTATAAAAAAATAAACGGAGGGAGCCAACAAAGAACCAATGAGACAGAATGCAAGACCAGTCGCTTTCAGATATATCCCATGCGACTTCACATGAGCGATAAGCAAACGTGTGCTAAATCCTTTAAAGTGCAATAAAATCAACGCAAAAAGAGATGAAAGGTGAGTAGGAAGAGATCATCTCTGTGTCTAAAGCTTCTTGATTTTACACAATGTACCTATGCTGCTATTTAACTGTGGTTTTTATGACTTTACATTTTCTGGTTTTGACATCATTTGATCAGTCTACAGTTTGAGACAGCCCTGACAGACAGAAGAGGAGAGGAGAAGATCACTTTCCTCTTTTGAAAGACATTGATGCATTTCCCAAATATTAGAAGTCCATGTCTAACTGTCTTAAAGACTGAAACTAGCAAGTAGCAAGTAGAAACTGATGTAAAAATTCAGTCTCTTGGACATGCAAGTGATTTGGTCCATTGTCCAGGGTATTTGGGATCTGGATCAATCAGACGACAGAGATGAAGATGACAGCGTCCTCATCCTTGGTGGATTGTTTGAGGCTCAGCAAGATTGGACGACAGCAGGCAGCCTCTTCGATATCAGAGATTTTCCCTGAAACACAAGACAAATAGAACAAAGAGAAAGACAAATGATTTTAAATGGTATTGTGCAGTGACAACAACAAACAAACATCTGTAAGCACGCTGAACAGAAAATGACTCCTTTCAGTTGGTCATTTACACAAATCTGTATCTGTACAGGAGGGTTATTTTAACAATGACACCTCATGATAGCGTACACAAAACAAACAACTTGGATTTCGGAGGGGTTGCATTACATGGAAGGTTCACCCAAAAAAGAAAATAGTTATCATTTACTCACTGTCATGTTATTCCTAACTTTCTGGTGTGAGGAAATTGCTATTCACTGAATTTTTTGTTTTCCACTGCAGCTCTCAGATATTAAACAGAAAATATTATAAATAAAATTTTATATTTTGGTCTGTTCCACATTTGTATCCATATCTCTTCCATATTTTAAAAGTTTGGAGTTTTTTTAAGTCTCTTATGCTCACTAAGGCTGGATTTATTTGATCAAAATTAACACTGTTAAATACGATTACAATTTAAAATAACCATTTACTATTTTGATATATTTTAAAATGTTATTCATTTTTGTGATGGTAAAGCTGAATTTTCAGCACTCCGGTCTTTAGTGTCACATGACCCTTCAGAAAAAAGGAAGAAAAAAAAATGTTTTGACCTCAAACGTTTGAACGGTACAGTACTGTATAAAACAAACTTGGAATATCTCACAAACATATGGATGACTTATGATGCTTTGTGTTATTTTTGGAGCTCAGTCTCCCCATTCACTTTAATTGTATGGAAAAAGAGCAGCTTGGACATTCTGCCTAACATCTCCATTTGTGTTGAATGGAAGAAAAAAATCTCTCTCTATTTTCATTTTTGGGTGATCTACTCCTTCAACAGAAACATCAGATGTATTCTTGACTACTCAAACAAACATGAAAAGGAGCAACACATACAGGTTGAGGAAGAGCAGGGTTACCTGGAAGCAATGCCTTCCTTCAAAACAAGTTCTTACTTTTCTGTGGACAAGATAGAGAAAAGTGAACAGGTACGCATTTTGGCAGCTGTTGCAACAGGAGACCAAAATGCAAAGTCATGCAGAGAGTGACAAACCACAATTAAACACTCAAGTTAACTCTTGGAACTGTCATGACATGATTTAACGTGACATTACAAGGTTTGGGGATGGGACAAAGCACCAGACAAGCTTCTGCTGACCAGAGCTGCTGTCTGATTGGTCAGGTAAGCCATCACTGAGGGGGCGGGGCCACTACCACTTACCACATTACGAGTAAACTTTTCAAATGAGGTTCTGCGATCCTGTATGCCTCCCAAGTTTATTCAACAAGATGAAGAGTGAAAAAAGGGACTACAGCATGAAGTGTATGTGTTTTTATTAAGTATAATTAATATGCCCATCTATTTGTGTCAATTCAAATGTATCAGATTTAGTCTCCTTCTTCAATTGATGCACCACTAATTCATTTTAAAACGTAAGAGAAAAATAGCATTATTATAATCTTAACAAACTATCCCATATCATCCAAATCACACACACACACACACACAAAAAAAACTTTGTTATTTTAGGAAGTGACACATTTTTTAAAGTTGAGCTATTTTTCAATAAGGGCCCTAAAAACAGCGCTAATAACATGTTCAATGCAATGTAAATAAATCAAACAAAAATACACTGACTTCTACATTCAACTATTCATTTAGCTGACACAAAAATAATATCTCAGTTTTGTATCTTTCATATTTTTCATCAAATACTTTTATATGAGATTAACTGAGATTAATTAAATAATTATTTTATCATGCAATTAATTCAAAGCATTACTGAAAGATAACTTCACATACACTACCAGTCAAAAGTTCAGGGTCAGTTAGATAGAATTTTAATTTTTCTAAAGAAATAAATACTTTTATTCACAGAGAAAGCATACAATTAATCAAAAGTGCTAGTAAAGAACTTTATAAAGTTACAAAAAAATTATATTTCAAATAAATGCTGTTCTTTTGAACTTTCTATTCATTAAAGTATTTGAGCTTTATTTTTTCCACAAAAATATTAAGCAGCACAACTGTTTTCTACATTGATAATAATAAATGTTTTTTTTAGCAACAAATCAGCATATTAGAATGATTTCTGAAGGATCATGTGACACTGAAGTCTAGAGTAATAGTTGCTGAAAATCAGCTTTGCCATCACTGGAATAAATTACAGTTTATAATATATAAAAATAGAAAACAGGTATTTTAAATTATAATGAAATTCCACAATATTACTGTTTTTAATGTACTTTCATCAAAAAATGTGGTCTTAGTGGGCATAAGACACAGCTTTAAAAAATATTTTAAAAAATTACCAACCTCAAACTTTCGAAGGGTAGTGTACCTGTATGTTTACAGAGTTCCTCTGTACTGATTATGACTGTAAGTCAAATTACTTAAAATTTTTACCTTTTTCTTAGCCTGCAGAAGCTCCTGGTAGGCACTGGATCTAATAAAACGGCTGTAAGAATCACTCTTCATCAGCTTATAGATGTGTTCCTGGGAGACACATTTATAGTACATTCACATGTTTATAAACATTTAGAATATTAATTGTATGGCTTGTTTTCATCAATTTTCACTGAAAAACAATAATCAGTGTAGCTGCTCAAAAACACAAACTCCTCACCTGTGCATCCTCAAAAGCATATCGTCCGGGGTCTTTGACGTTCTGTGTGGTTTTGCCGTAGCTCTTTGAGTCAACGTTGATGGCACTGGGGGCTCCGGGAGCCAAAAACTCCGTATCGTCCGGGGTCTTTGACGTTCTGTGTGGTTTTGCCGTAGCTCTTCGAGTCAACGTTGATGGCACTGGGGGCTCCGGGAGCCAAAAACTCCTCCCAGATCTCCTGCACCCGTGTTGGCACCTCACGGATCGGCCTCTTCTTTAACTCCTGCACTGCCAACCAGAATCTGAGTTTTGGATAACAAAAGAGAATGAATTTGCCGAATACAAAGTAGTTGCTCAGTGGAATGTATGGCTGTGTTGTAGTACTCCTCACCCACCAGCAGGGGGCATGAAGGGCATGTTGGTGTACCTGAGGTTTTCCGAGCTGAATTCAGACTCCAGGAACTTGAGGAACTGCTCTCTCCCAATGGGATCTTTCAACACCTCATTGATTCCAAAACCCCATCGTCTAACTCTAGTCTGACCTGGTTCTTTACTGCTCACACACACACCCACACACACACACACACACACACACACAACAGATTATACATACAGTACACATTTATCTGTAAAGACTAATAATATTCATTGTGTGTGTCTGAAACAGACCTGGCCTCCATCTCCCAGAATGTTGTGTCATCTGATATCCAGGGGTTAGATGGATCAGGAGTGCACAGGAAGGGGTCATAGTCTGAATACTGTTCGGTATAACTCAGCAAACTACAAGAAAATCACAAAAACAAAAGTAAGGGATAAAAGAGAGGAAGTACAAGGGAGCTATTTATTAGTAAAATAGCAGACCAAAACACTGTACATGTATATACTAATCACTCAATTTCCATTCAAATGCAACCAATAAATAAAGCAAAAACATTGGTGTTGGGGAATGTTATTTTGCTTGTTACTCTGTTACTCATGATAAAAAGTAACGGTAACATTTTACAACAAGGTTCCATTTGTTAACTATATTTAATGCATTAACTAAACAACAAGCAATACATTTGTTACAATATTTATGAATCATTGTTAACATTACCTGTTAGTGCATTGTTGGTCCATGTTAGCTCAGGTCCATTCAATAACATTAACAGATACAACTTTTGATTTTAATAATGTATTAGTAAATTTTAGAATTAACAAATCAAAGAAAATAATCTTTAAAATGCAAATTGGTTATGCTTATCAGTGACATAATGCAATACAGTAATTGTTCAATATAATCCAAGCATGGGGAAAGAGAGTTTTTAAATTCATTTGAATCATTTTTTAGTTACTTTTTATGACTTTACTACTATATATTAACACACAAAATTATTAGATAGGTTCTATGCAGTACGTATTTAAAAACAAGTTACATGGATATTATAGTTTGCATTTAAGAAAACATTAAGTAATATGATTATAAACATCACTCCAACACTGATGGACATTTTTATATTTTGATCTATAACTGATTGCTACAAGTCAGTTTCATTTCATGTTGCACCAAAATCTTCGAGAAGTTGTGGCATCCTAATTGAGCCATTGATCTCACAGAGGGAGTAAATTTGAGGACGAGAAACAGAAACATGTTTGTCAGCATGTGTAATATCTATACAGACCATTAAAGAGGTCGATAAGAAAATGTTTAAGCACTGTAGAATAATGAAGACTTGTGGATCGATCACAGCACAGACACTCTCTCTGTCTTACCTCTCTGCAACTTTGGACATTTTCAATCGATGTCGGTCTAACTGTGCTTGCCCAAACTTGATCTGGAAAGACAATAGTGGTAATAGTCAAGGTGAGTATATGTGGGTATGTGTGTGTGAAAACAGATGGCAAACACAGCCATTGATGAACTAAAATCGGCAGTTTTCAAAAGAGCTGCCAAAAAAAAAAAAAAGCCAGCCAGGCCAAGCTGGTTAGGCTGGTCAGTTCTGAAGCATTTAAGAAGTTTTGAACATGTTTTTAAAGCTCCCAGCACATACCATTTGAAAAGACAAATAGATACTGTTGTCATGAATTAAGAATTCGTTCCCATGACTTAATTCATGGCTATGTTTTATTAATTCACTATTTCATCCCTTCATTTGATCTAAATTGCGTCCACGTTGTACTAGTTTGAGCACTCATATTAATTTAAAACGTGGCTACTTTATACTAATTCATTTCCTTATTTTAAATCATGGTCACAATTGAACTAAAACAAGGTAATGAATTAGTACAACATGACCATGATTGAAATAAAACAAGGGAACAAAATCTTACTACTGTTTGTAATAAAATCATAGAAACAACAGGTAAAAACATGAATGGGCCTTGACTTTTTTTATTAGATCAATATAATAACTATAATTTCTATATACTGTATATAAACTACAGGTTTTGTAGTAGCCCATACATATTTAAAAACTGTAACTACCATAGATGAAATAAAAATGAAGTGCATGTCCTCATTTTCTTAACATATTTAGCCTTTTTAATATGACCATACAATAATATTTCTACCATAATACAATAGTTCTTACAGTATTAATACAATAGAATCATGGTAAATCTGCAGCAAAAAGCTTTGATAGGATATATGGAAAATGTGCTTCATTGGGTAATAAAATAAATGAACAAAATAAAATATTTAAAACTATTAAAAAACTAATTTAAACTATTAACTATTAAAAATTTGAGTTTCCAACTTTCCAACCAAGATGAGAAACTGAGGTAATTCTGACATGATGTGAACACAAACCCCTGTTGTCTAGCAAAGGGTAAAAATGAGACTTAAATGACATCTGGTTATGAAACAGAACAATCAGATACTTTTGAAATTCAAATGCAAATACTCTGCCTATACCCACACAGAACCAATCAGGTGTTACCTGTTCCCGAAGCTCTTCCTCGGTTGGTTGCTTGGCCTCAGGGGCTGGTGTGTGGGTGGGGCTATGGCTGCGAATGTCATTCTGAAGGCCGTACACAGACTGTGAAAATCATCAGAATAATTTACGACCTTATTTCCATAAATTTGAAACAGGCTCAGATATTAGAGAAGAGATTTCTGTGTGATTGCATCAGTGATTGGGGATTTCACATGGGCAGCTGTGTGATTGTTGAGGTAAGCTGCTCTTGATTGGTAAGGTGCTGGATTTTGTGAGGCTCTCTGATTGGTGGATTGATTTAAGACTGATTCAGTATTCTGATTGGCTGAGTGGTTGACTGATTCATTCAAATGCAAATGTTCAATGGTATAATGAGTGGAATAACTGCTGCAGTGACTAGCACATGGTTTAGAATATTAAAACCTTTAGTAGTTTGATTAAATGTTGGATTTGCTGCAGTGCCAGTGGGTTTTATTGTGTCACCTTTCTTGTTTTGTGAGGGTTCTTCATTCTGGAGGATTTCTTTATGTCCACTTCTGTTGTGTTCACACACCCTGGCTGAAACACACAAACACACACACACACACACACACACACACACACACACACTTTGTCAATATAACTGTCAATTCTCTAGATGACCTATAGTTTAGGGTTGCCAGGCAACCGTGCTGCTTCGACTGTAAACCGCCTGACGCAGTGCGCCTAACCAGCATACTCCCTCCTGTTTTGGAAAACTGGGATGATATTTTTAAAAGGCATGGAGCTGTCAGTCAAAAGGTTTCCTGCTGGTTAGACTCTATTCCATCTCACACAGGACTCAATGTTTCTACACTCCAGTATAGGATTAATTTTAGGTCCAGGCCTCAACTGTATGTTGGAGAGAGAGGGAAAACAGCCTCAAGACACTTAGAGTTCTGTAATAAACCCCATTTGAACCTGCACTGGCTAAATATGGACAAGAACTGCAGCATCTCGCTATTGCATGTCAGCTTGAAAGATCAAGCCAAGTTAGCATGAAATTGCTAATGAGTAGGATCAGCAAAGTGTAATTGAGGGAGAAATTGCTGCTTCTTTCAAAACAAACAGCTCACATACACACAAGTCATAAAGCAATACACACCAGTGACTCACACATATATAGACACTATAAAACACATGGACTGGTGCAATAATATTGTAAAAATCTATCCTTTAATGACTATTTAACATAGAAATTTAATGAAATTGCATGGTAACTTGAGTTACTACTGTGGTATTTGTAATAAAATCATAGAAACAACAGGTAAAAACACGAATGGCTCTTGACTTTCTTAATTAGATCAATATAATAACTATAATTTCTATATACTGTATATAAACTACAGGTTTTGAAATTAGTAGTAGCCCGTACATAATTAAAAACTGTAACTACCTTAGATTAAATAAAAATGAAGTGCATTTCCTCATTTTCTTAACATATTAGCCTTTTTAATATGACCACACAACATTATTTCTACCAAAATACAATAGGTCTTACTGTATTAATATAATAAAACCATGGTAAATCTTCATAAAGCATTTTCTAAGGATTTTAAAGCAGTATTTCATGAATATGCAGCGAAATGCTTTGATAGGAAATATGGAAAATGTGCTTCATTGGGTAATAAAATAAATGAACAAAAATAAAAAATAAATCAACAAAATATTAAATCTAGTTTTAAAAATATTAAAATATAATATTTACAAAATATTTTGTATAACTGAATTAACTACATTAAGACTTCATTAAGATATACATCAAACAGCAGAAATATTTAAAAGGATAGATCAGGGAGGAATAGCTCTTTAGGGGACAACTGCACATTTTCACTTTTTACTTTGTAGAATATTGTCTAAGGAAATAAATGATATATGATTTTCAGAATGTGTGTTTTAGTTTTATGACTAGCCAGCAATTCTTCAAGCACAGAGGCGATTCCATTAGCTCAGGGGGGCTTCAACACTGTTATGTCATTCCTCTGTGAGGGAACAACTTAAAACACCCGAGAACAACAAAGAATAATTCTGAAAAAGCAAAGAGAATAGCTGCATTGTTCTTACACAGACTTAGTTCTACACTTACACACACATGCATTTACTCACCACTGGCCTGTGCACATCCCAGAAAGCTCTCTCCTGACTGTCCAGTATTTTCCTCTCAATTTTGTCTCTTTTCTTATCGACTCTGTACAGACCAAACACCAAGCCAAAGCAATTAAAACATTTAACTTCCAAAAGAAAAGGCAAACATGCAATGAACCATGCAACTGAGCTGTGTTTTGGCACTCAGAGGCACTAAAGTGTTCACAGAATGGCCTTGAATTACTTGGAACAACAGCATAAATGACTTATAAGACAAGTTCTGTGAATCCAAAAACAATTTTACTGTGCAATTTATGTCCAAGAGACTTTTAAAACCCATTAGCACAGACAATATAAGAACAGTCAACAGCTTGACTCAAGAGACCTGGCCATTAATATTTTAATTCTTGCCATGTAAAGAATCACTTTCCTGTCTTCTGATTGGGTGGCATGCTTTTTCAAACGCACAACAAAAAACAGCCAAAGAAGAATGAGAAAGACCTGAACTGATCACAATATACGAAAGACTGAAAGATACATACTTTGCTTGAGCCTCTGCTTGCATAAATATAAACTCCCATTTCCTGGCGAATGCCCGCTGCAGTCGTGCTAAACTCTCCTGAAAGAGAAGAGAAGAGGAGTTTCAAATAATCAAAGTTTAAAAAAACAAAAAGCTTTTTTGGAGATAAGGCTAAAAACTTACTTACTTATAAGGTCAGTATAACAACTTTCCTAAAAAATTGGATCATTTTTGTACTTTTTGGGGCTTTTTTATCATATGCCTTAATTATCTGATCTCAGTTTTTGAGTAAACATTATCAAAACCATCCATAAATAATATATTTTTTTATTTTGCATAAGCTCAGATCATTGAGGCCTATGACCAATTAGTTCCAAAAACAAATACAAAACCTGCGCTAACTTAAATAAAACAAGTTGTCAAACAGATTAAATGCAAGATTTGGTGAAAATATAGCATAATGACAGATTACAAGCAATTTTTAAAAGGACGGTCAACAACAAATTAGATAAAGGATTTTCAGCACAACACAAGGGTTAACTTAATAATAGAAAAATGAAGTGGAGGCCCAATGATTACATGTTAACAGTTCTCAGTTCAATATGAGAAAGACGTTGGTGGAAAGAGATCTATCTACACAGGTCTACTGAAGAGCTTACATGGATTATGCAAACAAAGCCTGACATTTACGGCCAGCCTGGATTAGACCGACTTTCTTTTTAAAGACTGTCATTACCTTATTATCTTCCTAATATCTTCTATCTAATAATGTCTGAAGTACAAAATCTGAGATGTGCATTGTTACAATTAAGAGAGAGAGAGAGAGAGAGAGGGAGAAACAAAGAGAAGATTACTTACAGCTTCGTAATCAGCAAGTTCCAGACGTGCTTTGTTCTGCATTGTTCTTTTGCACAAGTACACAGCTGCAGACAGACACCGAGTGGTGAGGAGTTTCAAATAATCAAAGTTTAGAAAAACAAAAAGCTTGTTTGGAGATAAGGCTAAAAACTTACTTATAAGGTCAGTATAACAACTTTCCTAAAAAATTGGATCATTTTTGTACTTTTTGGGGCTTTTTTATCATATGCCTTAATTATCTGATCTCAGTTTTTGAGTAAACATTATCAAAACCATCCATAAATAATATATTTTTTTATTTTGCATAAGCTCAGATCATTGAGGCCTATGACCAATTAGTTCCAAAAACAAATACAAAACCTGCGCTAACTTAAATAAAACAAGTTGTCAAACAGATTAAATGCAAGATTTGGTGAAAATATAGCATAATGACAGATTACAAGCAATTTTTAAAAGGACGGTCAACAACAAATTAGATAAAGGATTTTCAGCACAACACAAGGGTTAACTTAATAATAGAAAAATGAAGTGGAGGCCCAATGATTACATGTTAACAGTTCTCAGTTCAATATGAGAAAGACGTTGGTGGAAAGAGATCTATCTACACAGGTCTACTGAAGAGCTTACATGGATTATGCAAACAAAGCCTGACATTTACGGCCAGCCTGGATTAGACCGACTTTCTTTTTAAAGACTGTCATTACCTTATTATCTTCCTAATATCTTCTATCTAATAATGTCTGAAGTACAAAATCTGAGATGTGCATTGTTACAATTAAGAGAGAGAGAGAGAGAGAGAGGGAGAAACAAAGAGAAGATTACTTACAGCTTCGTAATCAGCAAGTTCCAGACGTGCTTTGTTCTGCATTGTTCTTTTGCACAAGTACACAGCTGCAGACAGACACCGAGTGGTGTGTAAAAAACCACTGCTCGCACACACCACCGCAGCCCTCAGGGCTTTCAAATGAGTTGCACTAAAATATTTAGCAAACATTTAACATATTTCACACCAGCTTGTACCAAATCGCACCTGAGCGTTGCTTTGTTCTGATTGCTGAATTCATAACAAGCATAATTTACCTTACCCGAGGCACACTCATGCACACAATCATAACACAGGGTGATTCTGGAGAGTATCCAAAGAGTATATTGTTCTGTGTTAGCCGTACCACACGGATACGTTGTTTTCGTTCAAATCAAAACACAAACAATGTAGAAAATGTGTGGTGTAGCTGACAGAGAACAACATATGCTGTTTGCGTTCAGTGGATACTCTCCAAAATGGCGCTAGGGTGATGTGGAGGAGACGAATCGTTCAATAAAGTCGGGGGGGGGGTTTCTTTTGTGCACAAAAAGTATTCTCATAGTGAGCACATGGTCAGAGATGGGGAAGAAGTAGCCATGAGCCGCCATCAGTGTGCCCAGATGAAGAGCCTCCACTAGAGAAACAATTAATAGTTTTATTAGGGGTCCAAATATGAAGTGACAACCCAATGCCAAGATTTTTTTTTTTTTTCTGCTCTAAAATTAAATGTACCAAACAAATGGTATGAAATGGTAAAAATGTGACTATTGATAGCATTTTAAATCTTGGTATATATTCTTATAATTCTTTTTTTTTATTTTGGTTTTTTCAATTGACTGGAAAAATAATAGGTATATTTTTGTACTAAACAAAATACTTTTATCAAGGGATGCACGATATTGGATTTTTGCCGATATCCGATATGCCGATATTTTCAACTCTTTTTGGCTGATAGCCGATGCCGATACCGATATATTTCCTTTTGTTTGGAAACAACACCAAGTCTCTCCTGTGTGGAAATTA